AACACTACTGAATATTCTTCTAGAGATAACACTCGCTGTCTGACCTATCAAGAATCGACCTTCCACCAGGAGACTCACTTGTTAACTTAGAAAATGCAGATGATATGGTTCTATTTGGCAAAGACTAAAAAATGTAGTCTCTTAACTACTTTAAACAACAGTTCAAGCGATTTTTAGACTCAGAACTGGTCTGCATCAACGCCTAAACTAAGAATAAGGAGTGAAGTAGTTAAGTATGTCAGTCACTACTTATCTTGGAGGTCTCACTAACCCTGGTGCCTGACAATATCGTAGGACGAATTCATAAATCTCAGTTGGCTTTTGCCAACTTACATCACTTTGGAAATGTATGACATATGCCCACCCACTGACCAACTAGACGCGCGATGTTGGGGTAGGCTAGAGACTGCCAAATCAGGATGTGACAGCACTCCATGAAAACTGATTGTTGAGTAGGTGCAGACCATCTGGTTTCGGTCCACATGATTATCATAACCAATGTTTAGAGACCGTTGGTGACAACTCAAAATCGATCACAATGACGCGGATACTTGGTTTTCTAAAACTTTTTGTGCTACCAACCCGTATATTAATTGCGACACTATGGATGATTGCTGAACAATCAATGGAATGGGACTCGTCACTATACATCAACTTCCTTGACTATGAGAATGCATTCGACAGTGTGGATAGAATCTAACGGAACCTCCTTCGAGACTATGGTGTACGTAAGCAGATCGTCAACACCATATGGCGGACTACACTGCAAAGTGATGCATGGAGGACAGCTGACAGACGCATTTTAAGTGAGGATCAGAGTCGAAAAACGCTGCTTGCTTCCTTCCTTCTTCTGGTGATTGACTGGACTACGAAGACCTTCACATCTGACAAGAAGCACGAAATACAATGGACAGCTCGGAATCAATTAGAAGATTAGGACTTCGCAGACGACCTGGCCCTTCGATCCCCTACACACGAACAAGCGTAGATGATGACAAATAGTGTAACAGCAGCCTTTATATCAGCAGGCCACAACACACACAAGGGAAAAAGCAAGATCATAAAATTCAACACGGAGGAAACCGAACCAATCACACTTGATGGAGAAACTCTGGGAGAGGTAGAAAGTATCTGGGTAGCATCGTCGGTGAACGTGGAGGATCTTGTGCAAACGTAAAGGCGAGGATTGAAAAAACAAGGACAGCATTTCTACAGTTGAAGGACATATGTAACTCAAAAAAAGCTGTCAACCAATATCAAAATGAAAATCTTCAATACGAACATCAAGACAATTCTACGGTATGGAGCTGAAACTCGAAGAACTACTACAACCACCATCAAGAAGGTACAAGTATTTATAAAAATTTGTCTACTAAAGATATCCAATGTGCGGAAAAGGCGCACATTACGGAAATCGACAAACTTTAGCACGAGGTAGGTGCTAACTTGGAATCCTGAAGAAAAACGGAAAAGAGAAAATCCAAAGAACAGATTGCGCCGGGGATTGGAAGCAGACTGTAAAAGATTGGCCAAAACACAGTTGAATGGAGAATACTGGTGGGTGGCCTATGTATCTCCACGAGGGGTAACAGGCGATGAGTAATGAATGGAATCCATATTTTCTATACCTGATTTTTTACCACGATTAATATTGTCACTACCTTTATTAATCTGGAATTCGTTCTGACAATTTTATTCTGCTGTGCGAAGAGGTACGACAACCTGTACTGGTATATGCATTTGCTAGGTTCTACGTTACGTTTGAATAACCAAGTAACTAATGACCTAACCGGACTATGTAGTTAGTGCAATCAAAGTTGACGACAGAATACCCGGATAAGAGGGATCAGAAGAAAATGAAAAGTCATAATGAACATCATGAGACGTAAGAATTAGGATGACAACTAGCAGTAAGCTGCTCAGAGAATTTTGGATAGAATTAGTCTAGAACAATTGGACAAAAATAAATGGTTTACCAACTATCACAATATAAATTGGGAATATTTATGATCAGTATAACTATTCATCAGTGATCCGGTGTCGATCACTTTAGGAACACTCATTTTGTCTGTAAATTTCAACTATAAACACTGAAAATGAGTTTTTTTTAAATATATTAGCATGGTTTAGCAAACTAATACGTTCAAACCTCAAAAGTTCCTATTTTTAACACAAGATAAAAAGTCATGACCGTGTGTACAACATTAGAATTAATAATAACAATAATCAGATTAATAGAGTTGTCATAAATTTTGAACTCAATCTCTGAAACAATTTATGTACAAGCAAGGTGAAACAATACAAATCGGCTTTCTGATTTGGTATACGCTTCATTTTAACAAAAAAGACAGCAAAATAAAAACAACGAAAACTACTAGTCTCTAGTCGTCCAGATTCAAATCGAATTCAGAATACAATTCTCGGACCAGACAACCTCGATTGTTTGCTAACAGACCAAATAGTATTACACATGAATCTTTGGCCTCATTGTAAGCGTGTAAACGATTACGACATTTAGCTAATTCCAACTCTAAATCAATATAACTTTGATTTGGTCGCTTTGATAACAGTTTGTTAATACAATTTTCTATTTTACTGTTGTCATCCAAGTCGTCGTTGTCCTCGTTTTCGTTGACATCATCAATGCTAACTTTAGCAATGTGAATATTCTCTTTCCCGAGGTGTTGCAGCTCAGTGTGGAATGAACTAGTTTGTTTATTAGTATCATTTAGGTTTAATTGACTTCTCTGGAAAAAATAAACATAATATCTGGAATATGTACTGAGCAAGACTTATTTCACTGCACTTCAGGTTCAATGAAACACTAGAAATTAAATCGAATCACATATATCGTATAAAATACTTACACTGAATGGTACAACTAGTATCACTTTCCGACCATGAGTTCAAGATAGTACTTTGAGAAGTACAATCTTATAGAAATGGGTACACAAAAATACAGGGATTCGGATGATTATTTCGACACATTAAGTGCGGGAGATTGAACAACAGAGACCTATAGGTAGGCGTCTGTACAATCACTAAAAGATATAAGTGAGCAACTAGGATACTAAATTATCTACCGGTTCAACGCCTTGGATACATGTTAATTGTGAAAGGCAGTCAGCTACAACGTAGGACCAGGCACATATATGCATCAGTCCAAGTTGTTACGTCTCATTAGCACAACAAGATGAACACCAAATTCATAGAAGCAGTCACCTCAATGGTAGTAATGTAAAAAAGAAAGATTGTGTATAATGACATAGTACAAGAAGAAAGAATTGAATCGTAGAAAGAAAGGTATAAAGTAAGTTTAATCTCTTAGTTTAAGGGAAGACAGAGAGTGTATACACCGACGCCATTGCGATCGACTCTGAGCTATGTCACTCCGAGTCTCTAACCATTGGATACGATAGTTACGCGTACCCCAACCAAGTAGTCTGCATCTACCAATATGGTTCAGACTAGGAAGCCCCCAATCGAGAGTGGGGAGAGAGTCATCTCTTCCTCTCGGAATGCTCTCACGTGGCCACGTGCTTAAAACCACTGCCAGGAAAGGACTACTTACTGTCTGCTCGTTGCGGGGGTGTATTTTAGAAAGTTGAGAGGATGTAAGGCGGGCGTCCAGCGCTTTGACCGGGTCGGTGTGTACGGAGGATCCACCTGGGGGAGTTGGAACAACCCGATCCTAAACCAGTGATGTAAATGGGTTCCAGAATCCTAAGACAGCAAATGGTGTAAAAACCCATTGTTGGTCACCAGTTACCATGGGACTGGATCTTCTTACGATGCTCCACTGCCTTGTGGATTAGACCTTTAGGTCAAAGGTTCGGGGTGTGGCCCCTTAAGAAAGCCACCTGCTTCGGTTTGGTCACCCGGGCAGTATCCCAGCCTTCAAATAAATCGAATGATTTATGTGGCGCATATCCAATGGATGCCTCCCTGTACCGATGTTCATGTGTTTAAATAAATATTAAAACAGACTAGAAGTTAGTGACTATATAAACTGATGCCTAGTTATGGTTTGGCCGTCTCTAACTTAATTCCAACCGTGTCCAAGATCAGTCAGCATTGCGCGTCGTGGTCATCAGTGGTTGGGCATGCGTAATACGTAGTCCAACCATATCAGTCGATGAAGATTTACAACCTCATCGACTGGTTTGCCATCATTCCCTAATACCCTGCATCTAACCTCACTATGACTTACCCGTTGATCGCAGCAGATGCGAGCAACAATAATCATTAATGTTAAGTATGATTGGTAACCTGACTGCTGCTGCCACCATGACGTGGTGGTCGGGCTTGTCCATCGTGATGAACCAATCGAGCTATACTGGCTGGAACAACCGTTCCTAAAGGTTCTACTACGCCAGACAGGTAGGTTGGATGGTAGTAAAACTAAAAGCAACAAACTCAAGGTCCAAGGGCGAAGTCGTACTGCTGACTGTACAGAGGTGTGACGGCAGTAAGGTGTTTCATTCAGACAACCAGCACAACAGTTATGCTGCCTTCCCACAAGGAAGTGTGGGGTTAGAAAAGGTCGGCTCGAGAAATCTATTTTTGTTATGCCCCAATGGGTAGAGAAATTGTATCTCTGACCTTTCGTGAAAGTCACTTACTCTGAAGAAGTGGCTTACATCAAGCCACTACTCATTGGGATATAACAAAAATATATTTATCACAAATTCAAAGTTTACTACTAATAAGTAGTAGAAAAATGGTTAGACCGCACAAAATAAAAAATACAACAGGAAATAACTTACAATAACATCTGGTTGTTCATTAATTTCATTGTTTTGATTGTTAATAGTAGGATCGGTGAAACTGTTACTTTTATTGATCCTTTTTAATGGAGATTTGAATGGAGCATTTATGCTGGAGTGTCGCTTTTTAGTCTTTCTAGTGGGTGTTGACATGCTGAACAACCAAATATTTACATGGAAGTATGCAAATGATGAAGCATTAACAAGTATATCTATATACAGGAGAAAAATGACACGCTGGAATATTCATCTATTTACACAGTGCAAATTACATAATGCGAAAAGAAATAAAAGAGGAAGATATTGTTGATGAGATACAACAAGCATCGTAAAATACAAGAACAAAGAAGTCAGACAATTAAAGTTGTCTGTCATGGTTTTACTAGTCATCTTTTTTCAAAGGAAATCCCTGAGCTATACACTGAGGACAATACCATTGTCCACGTGGTTTATTCACTAAACCAACACACTCGAAATGGAACCATTCAATTGCACAATCACGATTATCACACGCAACCATTTCGCCATAGGATACTTGTTGACATATACAATAGGTAGGTTCATTTGGATCAACTGGCATGTCTAATACTTCTCTAGGATTATTCGTCAATGCCAATGCCAATGCAGCAGTAGCTGGGATTCTAGATTAAAAACAAATATGAAGAAACGAAACATGATAACTCAGAGAAAGTTACAAAAAGTCGAACACATTTTCATTAGTACCCCCAAATGCCCTGGTACGGTCGAAGGAGGGGAGAGTCAGCTCTCCCTCTCGAAATACTCTCACATGGCCAAATGTATGCACTCACTGCCAGGCTACGGAACTTACAAACAATTTGGCGAAAAATTAGATAACTCAAGGACTATTATTATTGATAGTGATAGTTCCTCTGAATGTCCTGAGATGATCAAGGGTATGGAGAATGATCTCGTTCCTGAAATGACTTTATGAAATCCTTAGTCCTGAGCGTAGCGGTTTTAACGAAAGCAAGAGGATGAAAAGTGGATGTTCCGAGCACAAACTGGGCAAGTGGATATTCAGGGTCCACTTAGGGGAGTAGGAAACTGTTAAGTCCCGATATATAAGATATAACAGAAAGCCTGATTGTAAACCAATGGTGTACACAAGTTTTGGAATTTTGAAATAGGACACGAAGTCATTTTAGTCACCAGCTACCATGGCACTGTATTTGACGTTGCCCCGCTACTTCGTGGGTCGAACCCTTAGGTCAAAGGCTTATGGAGTGGTCCCCTAACAAAATCTTTCTTTTGAGAGGGTCAGATGATCCAAACAGTATTCGATTCAACACTTGTGTGCATAAAGAATATTAATGACGAAAATAAATACGGTTAATCTAGTACCCATTTTAGGTCCAATCGTTAGGATGTGATAACACAATATTACTCAATTATCCAAACTTTAATGGAGTATATGAGCTTAAACATGCGATCTACGATATGTCATGAATTAAAAATACAGTAATTTGAACAGATTTATCTTTCTAAAGGGGTATTTTCCAGGACGTTTAAAAATATCGCCAAAGAACTCGTCAAGCCCAAAATAAAATCTTAGCGAAAACTTACAAAATGATCACTTGATATAAATATAAGAATGCCCATTCGGTAGTAAGTAACCCAAAACGTTGATTCCCTAATGAGTAGAGCTTCACTTCACTTGTTTTATTTAGCTACGATAGTAGCATCATCAACTCCGAAATAAGTTCAGTTGACAGCTTAGCATATTAGTCTGCATTCATTTACAGTCTTCAGAGGTTTGAATGGTTTATTCCAGTTTAAGATACAACATAAATTGTAACATCTTATATTATTAAGTATATATTACTGAGTGGATTCCATAGGTCTCAATAGACAAACATTAAATTCTTGGCTTTAAATAAACATAAATGACGCAACAAACGGGATCAAGTGCTAAGTAAAGACTCACTTAGGAGAATTAACCGGCTCTTGTTCTTGTTTTGTTCGAGATTTTTTCACTTTCTTAGACTCTTTTTCAGCTAACATCATAATACGGTCAAAACTTCACACGTACCTAATGCCTTTTTGAATTCAAACATATCTGCATCTAGTCGACGTATTTGTTTGTCAACTAGTTCATAAGCACTTTCAGCTCTGGACACCTTATCGTTACTAATTTCTTTGCCTTTTTTAAATAAACTTTGTATTTGTTCAATTTGTGCTTTGCGTTCCTCTTTGGACATTTCATATGCATGTTCAAATAGATAGGTTGTGCGTTGTTGTGTTTGACGAATGATATCCTGGACTTTTTGATCAAGATCACGCATAATTTCAAATTCTTGTCGCAAATGAGGTGGCAAGTGTTCTAAATCTAAATAAACATTCGTAAAGGGAATAACTATTAGTAACAGAAAGACATTAAGTTCAAATACATATCTCAAAAGTATTGGTTAACGTTGAATCTAATCAGAAAATCAATAAGAGCTTGAACAAGCTGAAAATTATTAAATTTTTGATGATAAAATGAAAGAAAGGTGGTCTATTAGTAATGCAGAATATGATGTGACCGAGTAACAACTAACGAAACTGAACCTACTGACTTATTACATTGATTAACAGTTATTGGCTGGATGATAATAAAAACAACCTGAATAGCTAGCAACTTGAACCGATGTACATATGTCAGGTTCTACGTTGCGTATTAACAAGTGACTGGAATTTAAAGCAAAATGCGATAGTTCAGTGGGAAAATCCTACTCCCAAGGGTTCGAAATCGTATCATTTTCAGATAACTGTAACCGTGCCAGAGATGTTAAACAGAACTGAAAATCTGCTATAATGACGCCAGTAATCTGTGAAAAAGTGAGGTAACCTCTGTGGCAGAGTCAGCTTAGAAAAAATTGAGGTTGCCGCAACGAGAGAGGAGGGAGATTAGCGACAGTTGCGCACAGACAATGAATTTATCGCTTTGAATAACTAATGAACTGAAATAAATAATGTGAAAACGCCTGGTTACATGAGCTGTTAGGCCGGCGGTACATGTAAATGAATCGTGTGGACTACTACGACCTCAGCTGAAATAGAACGATGGGGTTATTCCTACTTTATCGAAGTCCTGAGCAAGAAGCCCCTGAATGTTTGTGTAACATATTGAAAAAGAATCAGAAAGTTGCAGTGGTTTGGTTAGCAATAACCGTACTACACTAATGAACTGGACTTTCGACCACCAGAGTGGAAGATTTGAACCCTGCACCATCTATGTCACTTTGAAAAGCTAGGTAACATAAACAGCCATTCTAAAAATATGTTATAAGGCTAAATACATCAGTTAATAAAATACTGTATAAAGTATGTCAACTCGGGAATATAACTTATGAAGGAAACCAATATCGAATTAACGTGAATGCAAGTTTAACTTTCAACACATTTTCGTTACGTTACTTAATGAACTTTAAATGCATTTCCATTCAATGCAACAAAAAGGGAATAATGGAGTTTCTCTGTTATTTTTTGAAGTGCAGGATTAAAATCATACTAAACACCGGATGAAAATAAGTGTATAATGCCTAGATATCGAATACAGTTCAAGTCACATGTTGCACGAGTTGCCGTCAAACAACATAAGAGGATGTCCGACTATAGACGTAGTCACACCTCTAGGGCGGCCTGCTTGAGCATCTGGGCTACCTGTTCCTGCCATCTAGATATTTCAACAAGTTATCTATTGTTGTTTGTTTTAATATATCATTATGTTTATTAATCGCATAACCTATTCTGCTGCGTTTCTGAAAAGTGTACAACCTTTCGTTGTCAAAGTTACAGAAAACTCAATAAGAGACCATATGGTTGCTGGCAATGTACAACGAAAAGAATGTACATTATTCAGTTGTTCATTCACTGAAGTGCTAACATCTAACTGGCGATTCCTCAATATTTATCGCCAGGACCGACCAAGAAGAAAGAAACGGAAACTTGTTGAAATACTTTGCGCTGAGAATTCTATATTGTACCAAAATTATAATATTGAATAAAGCTAATAATAATAATAATAATAATAATAATAATAATAATAATAATAATAATAATAATAATTCAAGGGATAAGGACAAAGCAAAGGCCAGTTGCTCGAACTTTGCTCATTAAATCCATTACCACTGGTACAGTTGAGGTTGTGAATCTTCATCGACTGAGATGGTTGGGCCACGTGTTACGTATGCCCGAACACCGATTACCACGACGTGCAATGCTATCCGGTATTGGAGATGGTTGGAAGAAAGTCAGAGGCGCCCAAACCAAAACGTGGCATTAGTGCTTGAAGTCACTGACTTCTAGTCTGAGCCATGTTGGTAGATGCAGACTACTTGGTTGGGGTACTCGTAACTATCGTATCTAATGGTTGGAGACTCTTGGTGACATGGCTCAGAATCGATCACAATGGCGTCGGTGTATACAATCACTATCTTCCCTTGAAGTAAGAGATTAAAATCGCTTCGAATCTTTCTTTCTACGAACTAATTCTTTCCTCCTGTACTATATCCTTATTGCAATCTTTCTTTTATATATTACCACCTCTGAATTAACTACTTGTATGAATCCGGTGTCCATCTTGTTGTGCTAATGAGGTATGGCAACTTGGACCGATGCATGTATGTGCCTGATCCTACGTTGTAGCTGACTGACTGACTACCTAATTAAGACTGGTGAACTGCGAACACGAGAAAATCATGCTGGATTTAGACTTGATCGTGGCAGCATCATCCAAATATTCACCATCCGTCAGGTTCTAGAACACAGATATGCTTATCAGTGTGCGACAATGATAGTTTTTCTTAACAGAAAAGCAGCATTTGACTCTGTAGACTGAGAGGTACTGTGGCAGTGTCTTTCATTGAAAGGTGTACCTCAGATGCACATAAACATTGTGAGTGCACTTAACTCGAACAATACTAGTCGAGTCAGAGCTTATAGCGAACTGTCATCTGCTTTGCAACCTCAAGTGATGTTCGTCAAGGCTATCCACCATCTCCATTTCTGTTTAATTTTATTAAAGACCTACTGCTGGAAATAACGTCCACGTCGTCTGGATTTTCAGGCATTGATCTCCTACCAGAAGATCTACTTATTGACTTAGAATACACAGATGATATAGTCCTCTTTGGTGAAGACACTGACAAAATTCAGCCTCTTGATGGCACTGAGCAACAATACCAGAATGTTTGGGATGCGTTTCTCACCCACTAAATGCAAGGTGTTACTTCACGACTGGCCTGCGTCAACACCTGAACTAAGGACAGAGGGTGCAGTAGTCGAACGCGTTGACAACCTCACTTATCTTGGAAGTCTGATCAGCCCTAATGGGTTGGTGTCTGAGGAAATCTCTGCACGGACTCAAAATCCTCTTTTAACTTTTGCAAAATTACGTCACCTATGGCGAAGTCGAGATATCCGTCTATCAATTAAGGGACGAATATACTGAGCAGTAGTTCGTTCTGTTCTACTTTATGTCTGTGAAACGCGGCCTTTAGGAGTAGAAAATACTCGTAAGTTCCTAGTATTTGATCACTGATGTCTTAGAAATATCGCTCGCATCTGGTGCGATCAACGGGTAAGTCATAGTGAGGTTAGATGCAGGGTATTAGGGAATGATAGCAAACCAGTCGATGAGGTTGTAAATATTCATCGACTGATATAGTTAGACTACGTATTACGCATGCCCAACATATGAATGTACGTCTTTCTGCACCCTTCCTTGTTAGCCAAAATATAATATACGAAAATTTCGGTCAATAACACATAAAAGTGACTAAAACGATTGAGCCTTAACAATCTTTCGAGAGATATGAGGTCACACGAAGTATCGACCTGAGATACCCTTTTCAAGAAATATTTATATATATTCTGTTTCATAGCTATGATCGAGAACGGTAACTGTATTTCGATATTTGCACGATTTTCTCGGTTTACTAACTCAGCAAACTTTAGCTCAGACCCCAGAAACAATGCGACACTACTTTTACGTTGTTCAGGTGGTTGTGGACAAAATACAAGCTTTTGCCTATAGGTAGGAACCTAAGTATATCTAACAAGCAAAAGAGAAATACTAGTAAACTGTGGTGGAATACTGCTTTAAGTCCTTGGAAGTATACCAGCTTATTCTTTAAGGGCACCTGTGTAGACGCTTGAACCACCATATCTGGTAACGAATCCCAGGATTTGACTACTCATAAGAGAGAGGTCTACCCACAGTCTGTCTATTATGTTGTGATACCAAATTTTGGTTATTGCTCTTGAATTTTGTGTTGGGACTGGACTGAAGTAAGCATTTAATGGGGTGCCCCGGAGTGCTTAAAATACTGTCATAAAGTTTTGAACGGTCATGTAATAAGCAACTAGTCTTGGTTGATACTGAGACACAAAGTCACATAATCGGTAAATCCACTACATACGGAGAAATGGTCAAAAATGAACACAAACCTTCCATATATTTCTGTAAGTACTCCATCGACACGGAGGAAGTCGAAGTCGAATCTTCCCGCACGACCTTCAGTCTCTTTGTTCAAGGTGGGCTCAAAATGGTTTAAATGGTTGTTGACGGAATAGTAGAAGCTTTCGCTTAACGGGCTTCCGTGTCTAGTAGCAGTGGATCATCAATACCTCCAGGCAGGAACATAGATATTTTAACGATAAAAGAGGAAAAAGAAATTGGTAAGTCATAGTAAGATACTATCTTTAGTTATTAAGAATAGGTGTAGTTGCCTCTTAAAGAACTCCTGGGAAGTCACTTAGACTAGCTCAGTCGGCGGAGAATTCCAGCATTTTATTACTCTTAAGGAGTTAAGGGTTTGTCTACAGTCCGTTCTGCTGAGTCGTGTTTCGAGTTTCTTGGTATTACCCCTTAGGTTTGTGTTAGAGCTAAACCTACGTATGTATTATCTTTTATCTCCCCTCCTCAACAGTGTTGCTATGGGGTCTCCAAGTGTTGAGTGAGACAATCTCACTATTCTGAGACCATCTTCTATATACTCCGACCTGATAGGGAGTGAAACATCTTTCTCACCATCCATAACTGTCTCTAGTCTTAAGAGATCCTTGACCGAACCTCCTGATCACTACCCAAATACACTACTTATCCATCCAATTCATTAGATTCTACCTGACACTTCCAAACAAACTTCTTTCATCAAACTAAATTCCGATTACCTTTCTCCCATTAACCATATTGGTAAGAAACTAAACGAACATGAATATGGAACCAATGCTCCCACTTCTTATGACGAAACAGACACTCCACTGAGTTTACATCACGCCCTTCTACTAGACAAACACTCACCGTATCTGACACTTTTGATAATTAATGCTCAGTCTGTACAAAATAAGATGTTACACCTACGCACTCTGTTACTTTAAAAAAAACCTTCACTTGCTTTGATAACGCAAAGTTGGTTGTCCTCCGATATTACAGACTCGTACCTCCAAATAGACACTTATGAGCTCTTCCGCTGTGGTCGAGTCACCAAGAAGTGTGGTGGTTGTCTTTTATGTGTTTTAAAAAAATATGAGGGCGGAAATATATAGCGATCATACCCTCAGCAAACTACCAGATTCGATATGCCTTACTATACACACCCATGAATGTAAAATAGTCGGATGTGTATATCGAGCCCCTAATACGCCCAGTTCATTTGACACTATTATAACTGAGCCATTTGCTAGGGCTACCTCACTTGATTTCGCCTACAAAATTGTTTGTGGTGATTTAAACTTCCCACCATCAACTGGATGACATATTGTGGTCCATTATGCTATAAAAGCATACTTAGGTCCTTATACATAAATTATTGGCAGCAGTATGTACACTTGCCTACACGAAATGACAGCATTTTCGACCTGATATTCTGTCACAATATCACACAAACATCAATTGTGGTTGGCGAAACGATTCACAAAAGCGATCATAAAATAGTCCTCTGTACTCTTCCGATTCTTGCCAAGTGCAACAAATTAAAGACATTAAATACGCGTTTCCAATATAGAGACTATGCAAACGCTGACCAGGAAAACTTTCGATTTCTGATAAAGCATTCTGACTCGAGCAGGTTCTTTACCAGTGATAACTTCTTAGTAACATTAGGAATATTCAGTACTACCACCAAATTTTCACTAGTCACTACCATTCCATCTAAAACTGATTTTAAATCAACTGCTCCCTATATCAACCAGAAGACTAAGTCTAAGCTGCGAAAACTAAAAAGGACGTACCATATATCAAAGGAATTCGGTGCCCTGCACCAGGTATACTCTATACTTGAAGGGGCGCAGTGTCAACACAACAAACATAAACAGACAGAAGAACGTACTGCACTCAATGCTGCATTTCGTCTCCTTGCAAATTGCATAATAAAGAACGCAGATCAAACACTCACTCCTTATTGAATCATAGTGTGACATATTATGACCAGACGTCACATGTGAACTGTTAAATGAATGGTTTTCCCACAACGGGAACACATCTCATACCCCAGATACTAACATAAATTGCGTCAGCAAAAATTATCTTAGCACCGTAAACTTTGATATTAGGAGTATACATACCGCCATCAAAACCCTTAAGCCAAATACGAGTTCTAATGCCTATGACATCCCATCAGTCCTTTTTTAAAATGTCAGGGCCGAACATACAGAGGCTATTACTCAAAATAAGCACATTACCTTTAGAGACAGGTACATATCCCGAAACCTGGTCGAAAACTACAGACCTATAAATATCACCAAAGTTATATCACGCATGATGGAAAAAGCGATACAAAATCAACTATCTGATCACCTACCTAAGGAAGATCTATTAGACCCGTCACAACACTGCTTCATTAGGCCAAGGTCCTAATAGATAGACTTTCTTAACGAAGTTACTCACATACGTGATCAAAAAGAACTAGTGATTAAACTATATTTCGATATTAAGAAAGCATTTGATAACCTACTAATCGACAGACTTCAGTCAGTTGGAATTACAAACTCCCTATTGCAATGGATCAAGTCTTTTCTCACAGAGATACCAAATAACCAAGATTAACTCTACAACATCTACACCACGGCTAATAACCAGTGGTGTTGTGCAGGGTAGTGCCTTGTGTCCATTGTTCTTTACAATCTACATCAATGATATATACAAGTGCTTTAGCACAGGTAAGACCTACCTCTACGTTGATGACTTAAAAGTCATCTATAAAACTGACATTTACGATGTACAAAGTATTGTGCAAACAATCCAAAATGAACTCAACATGTTAAACAACTGGTGAAAACGCTGGAGGTTAGAGCTCAACACAGATAAATACGGCTGGCTAGGTATTGGTGAACCACCTCCTAAAATAGAACTAGCACTTAACAACACACTGCCCAGACTGGCATCAGTAACTGACCCAGGGGTACATTACCCACACGGTCTTCATTTCTCTGAACACATACCAGTCAACGCACCTAAAATGCGGAAATAAGTTGGCCTCATTCTCCGTATTTTCTATCAAAACGAACCAAAAACACTTCCTTATAAAGTCTGTGTAAGACCTATCGTTGAATATTGCTCGTTCTTATTTTCCAAACTAGGCCTATGTGATATTCTAAGGGTGGAAGGAATACAATGAGATTTCACCCGCAAAATACTTATGACTGACTCAGTCACTGACTACAGTTCCGGATGCCAAATCTTAGGCATAGAACCCCTTTGAAAAAGAAGGCTTAGGTCTAATTTGATACTCTAATTCAAACTACTCAAAAACCTTTCCTTTCCGTTAGACTATAACTTGTGTACGAACCAATTGGAGTCGGGATAATAAGTTTTGGACTTCGGCACGACATTCATCCACCTCTTTGGCTAATTAGCGTTTTGGCATTTTAGCTGATGTCAGTTCATGATGAAGACCCTGAGTCTAATTTCTAACTCTATCCATCAACTGTAAATCATAATTTTAACTCCTCACATTGATTTATAACCATCAATTAGTCCCAGTTGGTGGGTGGACAATCTGAAGGTCACTTTGGGGTCACACAAAGGTCGTCCATAAATTAAGTCTCACCATCCCTTTCCTGTGATTTCATTGATCCAGTGACGCATAACTTATTCATGTACTGTTTAAGACGTACTATACAGTCATATAGAATATTTCCGTCTTCAGTGAAACCGTCTGTTTAATCGTAAATAGTGCAGAAAACCATTTTTCGTACAATACAATATATCATGAGTTGTTGTTTACCTGTCCCACAGAATGACCAAATAGTTTTAGAACAAGATTTGTGTGTTGAAGACAGAAGGACTACTGTCTGGGTTCTTCTCTTTCCTGTGAACTTTGAGTATCTAGTCTTCTCTCTAAAATGAGCAAATCGACCTAACGGATATCATATATTCGGGTTTCAGGTTTCAAGAATTTATGACTCTGTGGAAAGCTGTATGCGGCAATTATTTTGTTCTTCGTTGTCTTTTGTAATATCCAACTATGTAGTCTGTGATGTTCTTAGCCGGTTGGAAGGATAGTGGGGAAAATATTAGGTTCGAAGGCAATTCATGGCATTTTATACACTTAAATCTGATTACTTACTAATCCATGGTAGGATAGATCAGAGAGGTTTAAATTCTCCAGCCAATCTGTCTTAGATACACCTCATAATTTTGGAATTGTGGTGGTAGCTGGACTTTGTATGTTTTCCAGAAAATGCAAGCCACATCCAAAAAGAGCTTGTTTTCTGTGCTCTGTTTTTATGTTTGGATCTACCTAACGTAAGAAGATGTGTGTATCCAATTTATTAAATGTTGGTCTTAGGGTTATGGGGTTCTAAACACTTTGGATTCAGTCGGAAAGTGATGGGACGTTGTCTTAAGGTCATGGATCACCAAAATAATAATAATAATTTATTCTCAAATAACAGTTTGTTACATGAGGCATGCCAGTTTACAGGCAAGATCAAATTGTTACAAATCATACAGTTGTATTCGAATTGGGATTACCAATTGTAGCGTGGCGTCGAGTTGAGATTAACTATGAACACCGCTACTAAGAAACACGTGCCAAGCGAATCAGAAGGCGAGGGTTGGACGTAACCAAATAGATCCATAAAATCCCCGAGAAGCCAAATACCAGAAGACAGTTAATGGACCAAGTCGAGGTTTATTAGCTGGCGATCTCGTGGCATCGAAAGGATACCGAGATCGTGCCAGAAAACAAACTTGGTTACAGAACGTAACCGAATTCGCGCGAAGATACAATCAAATTGTAAGTATAAGAATGGAGGCACAATATAGCTGTCATTAGCACAGTCAAACAAAAGCACATTAAAACAAGCACTGGTACAGTTGGTTATAATAATAGTTGTTTTTATTAAACCAGTCGTGTTCTCGTGATAAATGTGAGTCACTACACAGTATCCACTGTAGTAAATTACTCAGCTGGGTTGATAATTTAAACGATATGAATGTAGGTCGATTTGCTCACAGGAAAGAGAAGAACCCAGACAGTAGTCCTTCTGTCTTCAACACACAAATCTTGTTCTAAAACTATTTGGTCATTCTGTGGGACAGGTAAACAACAACTCATGATATATTGTATTGTACGAAAAATGGTTTTCTGCACTATTTACGATTAAACAGACGGCTTCACTGAAGACGGAAATATTCTATATGACTGTATAGTACGTCTTAAACAGTACATGAATAAGTTATGCGTCACTGGATCAATGAAATCACAGAAAAGGGATGGTGAGACTTAATTTATGGACGACCTTTGTGTGACCCCAAAGTGACCTTCAGATTGTCCACCCACCAACTGGGACTAATTGATGGTTATAAATCAATGTGAGGAGTTAAAATTATGATTTACAGTTGATGGATAGAGTTAGAAATTAGACTCAGGGTCTTCATCATGAACTGACATCAGCTAAAATGCCAAAACGCTAATTAGCCAAAGAGGTGGATGAATGTCGTGCCGAAGTCCAAAACTTATTATCCCGACTCCAATTGGTTCGTACACAAGTTATAGTCTAACGGAAAGGAAAATTCAGTCCATACCACAACTTTTGTCACTATTTACCATAGTACAAACTTTGACCAACGAGACCATTTCCACCTATTCTTTTGAAGATAGGAGGATAGGAAACAATAAATCCTGGCAATAAGCTAGCTCTGTCTCAAAATAGTTCGCTATTATTGAGTATGATGGAGTAATGGAATTCATTATGGGAGATAGGTATTGGCGACGTTAGAAAAAGGGTAATTATCCCGTTAAAGTGGTTAAAATAAATACTTACCATGCCAATGGATAGACCAAGAATGGTTAGTTGAACATCATAATCTCAGAGAAGATGTAGTAATTGTGGCTTAGTATATCTCGATAAGCGGAAATCGGCCCTTGAGAGTGGTAGAAAGCTGTGAAAGGTTGGAGCGGTGACAATTTGCTTGAAAAGTGGATTGTCAAGAAGAAACGTACGTAAGAAACGTCTCCTTGAAGAGTATGAGTAGTTTATAGTATAAATGTCGGTAGGATGAGTAGCGGTACTTCTGCAAGTCCTATCTACTTCTTTAGCGTCGATGATATAGTATGATGAACCCCCAATGAAATTATCAAAGCAGATATGTGCTGCAGTTCAGTAAAAGTTCTTTTTGCAATTTTGCGTGAATGTGTATGAAAATCCCTCGATGTAAACACTTGTTTGATGTAACTCGTTGTTTTAGGTTAAATTATTAAGTTATTCTTATTGATCCATTTTTTATGCATTCCTTTGAACTTTTGGACCCGAATGAGACAGTAATTATTTATTTGTCATAATACATTTTGTTTTTCTGGCGTTTTTACCAGATTCCTATGGTTCTCATAGATTGTATCAACGTTGTTTTATCTGGCATTTTGGTTGTGACAGTTGATACATCGATTCGTTATATATTTAATTTACTTGCCTGAACTTAGCGGTAGCAAGTTTAGAAGTTCATACGATTTCATATCATTTGATGAGACTTAGTATTACGTAAGCTCTAGTAAGCATACTATTTTTGTAATGCTACTGAATACGGAAAAGCCACTGGCGATATCTCTGTGAAGTAATTTTGATTTATACTGTTCGTATGTTTCTTGTTTTTTTCTGTTAGATTGTATCAAATCAGATAGAGTGTGGCAGATTAGATTATTTCTCTCATTGATTAGCCTTACCATATTATCTGAGCAGTGTCTCGGTGTCTTGTTCGCTAAAGGTTACCACCTTGACATTCACCTGTGCCGGACATGACTACATCCAGTTGTCCGGAAAATACAAGCAAGAAATCAGTACTGTTCGTGTGCATAGTTGTTCTCATTTGATTTATCGTAAATGATTATTGTTACCGAAATTTTCACTAAGTTTTCTTGACTCGAATGTCATAAAAAAAGCTATGTAAAACAGTTATTAAGTGAAAAGGAACGTAAAACATCAAAAGTAGCTAGTGGATGCTGAGGAAGTGTAACTAAGATGTGTGAATGTCACGATGATGCAGACCGTTATGTGAACATACTGAAAATGTGAGAGCCATTTTATACGGTTAAGCTAAAACATCGATGGAATCTGTAGAATACATTATGGAGTAGTGTGCAAAGATATGGAGTAGTTACTGGTCATGTGACCGAAGATGAGAGCATAGAAGCTGATTTATGTCACTGTTGATACCTATATAGTCGGTCAATTAAGTAAGAAGATTGTAGTTCCAAGGCACAAAGGAGGAACCGTTCTGTGATGCACGCAAAGTTTTTGTGAGCTTTATTTTACTCATTTGCTGCTCTACTCCTGGAAGTGTAGGCAGATGTCGAAGCCGAACGCGACTAAATTGTATAACAGAATCGCAGCCATGTGAATTGTAAGAATGAAACTTATTTATTTAGATTCATAGACTGTGACGTCTCAGTCCTTTGATGACGTGGTTTATTATTATAGAACTGCTAAATCAGAAGATATGAACTATCTTCTTGTCGTTCGCTAACAAATTTTCACAACCAGTTTAGCCACGTGCCATCTTTATTGAGCTTAGATCTCAGATAGATGTTAGTGCAATTATCTTAGCTGCTGGAATAGTTGATCTAATTTAATATTGTCGACTTTGAACTATGTGACTACCTAATCCACAAGATTTTAAGACTTAACAATTCCAAATTGTTCGTCAACAACTTTTCGGTTCAAATTTTAGGGGCTGACATACTAAAAAAATTTCTCTAGAGAAATAGTTCACTTAGATGGTAAACTGACTCTCTAAGAGGACCTACCTAGAACTGAAGATCTTCTTCCTTTAAATACCAAGAAACGCAGTGATATATATCAAGGAACTTTTGTTAACGCCAAACTACTTTGGTATTCCAGTATCACATACGCAATCACTGGGAGGAATCGAAGTATTACTCCATTAGTAATTACACACAATAAAAAATACTAAGCATTAAAATTTATTTTCAGAACATTAGAAAGCCTGACTCCGGAATTATTTGAAGCAACTTCTGGTGCGTAAATGAGATTCCGTCTACTAAAAGACATATTGGATGGGATACGAACGGACCGATACAAGGATCCACGCGATCTATTTTCGTGGTTGGAGTCGCGAAAGTGAGTAACTCCTTAACAGAAGCAATAGTAAATTCACCCTCTCCTGGGCTTTTAAAACGAATCATGGATGTTTACTGTGTCCTGCAGATACTAGAGATTATCCTTCATCACTTCCGTTATTAACTAATTAGATCCCTTCATATTTTCTAGATGAAATATGACAAAAAATCATACTTTTCCGCAATGAAGACCACCCTTTTGCAACTCCAGAACAGATCTGAGTGTATATGCAGTTCGCGAATTCCACCAGACTAATTTGAAGGTGATTCAGGTTTCGAAACATTTTGAAATATTACGTTTCTCTGATGACCTTGGCTGGGTTTAAGGATGGGGTTAGTTATGCCAATTATTATTCGTGTTACATTTATGGATTCATGGAAATTCTGGTCATTCTATTATAAATACTTTACACAAATCTATATTAGTGTTTCATGTAAAACAAATGACTTTAAGTTTGTCGTGAATAGATTCGGGACGATAGGACCTTTTTTACTATAGCTTTATGCTAGTATATATAAGTTGTGGTGGGTTGAAGGTATTTATTCTTCCATATAATTATTAGGGCTTTGTGCATTTCTTTGTTGAGTTGTGAGAAGTGTTAACTCTGACCTGACTAGTGAACTTACCCAATCTCCCCAAATTTGGGGAAATTTGGGAGTACTTTGGGGAAACTCTCAAAATCAAATGACCTTCATCAAAATTAAAAGGGAATTTCGGGAAATATTGGGGTTTTGGTGCCATTTCCCCAAAGTTTACTATAGCGGCTTCCCCAAAATTGGGACCTCGGGTACCAGCGAAATATATCAGCCTTTTTATGAGATTTGTCGAAACTACCTGGTTGATGAATATACAAATCAAATAATATATGCTCAGGCAATATATAAAATAAAGATGACGACGTTTTCGAGATTAATAATACTAATAGAACTCATTATCACCATAAACTTGTTAGATATCAAGTACTATTAACTAACAAAGCCTGTCTACACCGTATGATGCAAAGTAACCGACACACCAATACGTTATCTTTGTTTTTCCTTTTGTCATCGATAGAAATGCACCTCTTAACTAACCGAATTTGTGAACGTTTTGTATTGTCTTTTTTGTAAAGTCCTAATCAAATATGTTCAGTTTTCCTGAAATCCGTGTGTATATTTACGTACTCCAGGATCAATCCCGAATACTTAAGACAAAAGGCTTATATTAGCCCTAAGTACAAAAGTTCATCGGGTGGTCCCCCAGTCTTTTAAACACATTTGTGTAACTGTGTCATGTTTTGCCGCCAATTTATAACTAACTAAGAAGTCAATATTGATTTCAGCAGTTGTTTTAGTGATTGTCGCTGATATTATTTTCCCTTGAATCTTTAGTCCGTGAACAGTTGTTTACGATGTATGGAATAGAATTATTCGATTGGACGTGGCTATATCATACTTAAGGATTTCTAGGATGAAGTCAGTCTTATGTCATTTCCAAGAGCTCCCACTTGTCAGATAAATTATGTCTGTTCATTTATTGTACTATAGTTTCAGGCCGACAAACAAAATGTATAGCGGATCGCTTTTCAGGCTTCGATTAATAATAACTATTCGACCATCGTGTTTGCACTGTGAATAAGTCAACGTTATGTGGTGTGCATTTGCCCATTCTTTAATAATCGGTATGGATCATAGTGATTACTAACATCGCCCAGTCATCAGAAAATGTAGATACTGAATCCAGATCTCTCATAAGTTATTTAATATTCCCATTTTGTGTCACATTATGCTGATGCTGACCGTACACAATAAAATAATGTCATAATATGGTGTAGGTCTTGTACGTATAGAAGCGTTGCTACTGCCTTAAAGAACTTAGCTTGGGGAACTTTGGCTGATACTTATTTTTGGACAGACAGGTTGCTGTCAATCTCAATTCATTATCACCGTCCGACTAAGACTTATTTACCTTTATGGTTGGATTGTTCCTGATCCTAAAGCTTGATTTACTTACCAAAATATGCTACTATATTAAAGACCTTATCAAATTAAGGAAGCTCACATCGATAGTAAGTCTTCTTTCAGGCCTTTGCGAAATTCACATAGTTTTCGCAAAATACGTGAGGATTTTCTGACAAATAGTATTCAAAATCCCGACATCTGAGTTAGTTAAGCACTAAGGGACGGAAATTTGCTGAATAAAACTTTTCTAAAAACCGAACTTGTGGTACGTTTTTGTGTTCGTCTCCTTAGCTCCTCTAGACTAACGAAAGGTCTATGCGTATGTCAGTGAAGGACCTACGTTTCAATTGTAGCCTTGTACGCATATCTCCTGGTTCTTTGGTTTCCTGGGGTTAAGTTTGGTTAGCCTTTCATAATATTCAGGTTAACAAGAGGCCACTGACTTCAGTTTACAGGTTAAAAAGGATGGACGTACCTGTAAATAAAAGGAGATTTTCTCCACTATATTTATCTTGTCAAAGTATTATGAAAGTATTACCTTTTCTAAGGTAATCTATCATTTATGTTGTAGCAAAATCTCTGCGCAGTGCTTATAATAATAATAATAATTTATTATTTTTTCGTAGTCTCGGTTTTTCACAAGGTGTAAGTTTTTCTATTCTTTTTACATTCAAACCCAGCTCCGTTAGTGCCTGATATTATTAAAAAGTTGCATCATCCTCTAAAACTAATATATGGCCTGTATACTCTTACTGAATCAGTCTCTGAAAAGCAAGAAGTATTTCTCCGGTTCTTGAAAATGCTTATAGCAATTTCGAACAGAAATGATGAAAGTAGGAATTCTTCCCGAATAGTCACCAATTCTGTTTCACATCATTTTATCAATTTTAATGTAACCGAAAGTTTTGGGGCTAGACGTTATCGAGGAAGAGATATTCCCCCTCAATATACATATCAAAAGCTGGTCATAACACTTTAACATCGAGGGGAAGTGATCTCTACTTTATACAAAGAAATGCAGACATTATGAATCCTTGGTCAATACATCTGTGTTTTGAAGCCTGTTGGAGAGCTTTGAGCTGACTCATAAACTGTTCAAGCAAAATACCACCCTGAAAATCGCGGTACTTCGAGCATTTGCTTGTCTGCTAAGGATTTTGTTTGTCAAAAACACAAATCATTACTCCTACGGAAAAGTTTCTGTTATTTCCATAAAATCTGTAGTATTATTTATAAATATCTTAAGTCCGATATGTTTTCTGATTACGTTTTTTTTACTTTACAGTGAACTTCCGATTTTCACTTGTCAAGCCCATGTATTTACAATTAACCCTCAAACAAAGAAGTCATGGATTCCGTCAAGCAGTAAAGCGGTCGATGTTAACTTCTTTTATGACTCCAATAAACACTGTTATCGAATAATTAGTGTTGAAGATTCTTCTGGTTCAAAAAAGGTTATTAGAATTTCATTAAATACGTTATTATCATAATTTTAAATCAATAACATTAACCACAGTGAGTGATAAGATCTTTAGTCAGGTATATCTAAGCGTCATAGATCTTTGGCCATACACTGTTTGAGTGAAGTATGTAGTAATGACCAATTGTGGCACAACACTGTACAGAATGAGTTGTGACTGAAGATCCAATGATTAATAACCGAGTGGAACATGGCGCAAAGTTTGATTGGCATGAATTAAATGATAAGACCAACACACTGATTACTTCACTTCAGATAGTTAGACTAGGGATTTGTCAAGACCAGTTCTAGATTACACTCTAGAATCAACATCTCTCTAGCGAGTCACTCAGACTGACCAGTTAAAGTAACTTACCATGTTTATCTGAAATAAGTGAAATTACTAATTTGGAAAATTTAAATATTTTCCGAGAAAATAAAACTATGATGGGATATTTTTAGCCTGATTTCATCTTGTTGTGTGATTTTTGTCTAGAATTCGGCTTCTCAAAAACAGGTAGATGTAAATACAAGTAAAAAAAGATGTATATTCGTTTGGTTCACGTTCGATCATCATTCTTTTTAAACTACAAAACGTCATTACACTCACCAATTTAAAATATTGTCAAATTTTGATACTAGTACTACTAAGTAGATGGTAAATGACATTGTTAATCTACGTGAGTTTGTCTGGTGTAAATGTTTAGTCACGGTTAAGTCGTTTTTCTGCTGAAAAAACTACTCACCTATGAAGATAAAAAAATATGGTGTGAAGTTTGTCGTCTCTATTTACGTATCTAAATAATAACATTACGTATAGTCATCAAAAAATATTTTGACTGTCTATATATTTTTTTCTTCTTGAAACATAAACGTTTTCAAGATTTTCTTAGTGTAGTAATAGTTAAAATTTAAACCTGTATATATTTCAAATTAGTTTTTCTAGTACCGTTAATCACTTAAAACATATGTACAACCAAGAAACTTGTGCTATTAGGTACTATCTATGCCAGATAGAGAAAGCTTCAAACAATCACTTTAGAGTAATTTAATCATTAGCATTATTGAGGGTGGGTAAGGTCCTCTACCTCCATAAAGATACTTTCATATAGCAGGATGTTGTCATCCATATCATTAAAGTTCTATTCGTCGTCTCCATATGGAGTCAATGTTTTTTGTTTGAAAACGGAAAATGTTAAACGGTTAAATTTGATCAATAGTCTGTCAAGAAGGAGTTGGGAAACTTTTTTCCAATCAGTGCTTAAAAGTTTTAATATCTTAAAGAAATGAATAAAGCACCAAGCTATTCTGATCACCGACAACCGCATAAATACAACTTTTAACAGTCACCTTATGGGTTAAGTGTTTGCTTCATGGGTTTAACCATAGTTTGTTAAAACAACTACCCATTCCGGTCTATACAACTTAGTAGCAGAACAATCGTTGGATAAGCATATATCAATTTTTAACATTTAAATATCCCTAATTTAGGTTATTATTAATAGTACATTGACGGAAAAAATGACATTCAAGAAGACTTCACAAAAATTCGGACAATGGGCTGATTCGAAAACTGGTGGAGTCCATGGTTTGGGGTTCAGCTCAGAAGCAGACTTAACCATGGTAAGTTTTAAAAAAGTGTACAGGAGTTTATTTCTCATTATTTCGATACCTTTTGTTCACTTATAAAATATATGGTACCCTTTAACTACAAACTGGCTTATATATTATAAAATCATATCTAAACATTGAACTAAAATCAGTGTATCAATAGAAATTGAATTAATGATCGATAGTTGTGAATCACTTCTGTTGACTTTGCATAAGGTACTATCCTTAAAATGTTAGGTTAAATTGTTGATATTTTTTTGTATTCAACTTCTTTTCAGGTCGTACAGTGTATAACGTCAAGTTGATTATCATTATTTTATCTAGAAAAAATAGTTGTTAATAGTTTGTCAGGAAATATAATAAAAGTCAGACATTTCAAGTGATAGGAAATCTCGGACACTCCTCAGGTGATTGGAAGGTTTATAACTTAAATAGTTTTAAGAGTTGAATAACCATAAATAGTTTCATGTGTAATGATTGTTTTGTAAATCGTATGAATATTTTGCGGTTAGCTGAATTTAACTGGGTAATGTAGATTAACAATATATGATCTGATAATTACGAATCCGGTACACCAAATGTTGAATTACAGTTCTGTACATTCCTCACTGCAAAATACTACTTGTAATACCACAAAATACACGGTCCCCCTCACTAATTTCATTGACACAGCTTATAAATCACACTAAAATTTGATTTCAAAGACTTCAGTAGTTGCTCCTGTTTTGATTGAGTGGAATAATTGTCAAGTGTCACAATTCATATTTAAGTTAAATTTTTTGGTTTGCGTTATATACATTTTGTTAATTTCATATGAGAGGGATTCTAATATATGAATATTTGTGTAACATTAGCTTCTTACTTTTATAAAACTTATATATTATCACTAAAAATGTGCGGTGCAAAGGATTTACTATTTTTAAGACCGGTATTGCCCAATGGTAGTATAGCTGAGTATGTTGATTATCCATGGAAAACATCTATCACTACTACATGCCATTGAAGTCTGCATTGTGAATTCCCTCTCATATCTTAATTCTTCTAGTTAGTTTTTTTAACCCGATAATTTTTATAGTGAACCCTCAAAGACTAAGATTCCTAACTGATATGATTTTATTAGGTTCTCGGAAAAAACTCAGATCCCTGCTTTAAGATAACAACTACAGTCCAAACTATTCCAAACAATCATAGATTGCTGAGAGTCGTAATCCTACGAAAAATCAGCGATTGTTTCAAATCTTGGAACTTATCCTATTATTATTATTATTATTATTATTATTATTATTATTATTATTATTATTATTATCTCTTCTACTTATAACCTGAAAATTTGTAAGATACATACTCTAATTTTCAACTAACAAGAAATCTAGGGAGTTGATCTCCGTTTCATGCTAAGTACTGCTCGCATATCGATCCTGCCATTGGATCATTAATGTTCAGTGAGTTCGGTGGTATGTGTAGAATAGAACTTTAGTTCAATGTGATTTCATAATTTTATAGTTTTTTCGTTCAACCACAATTTCACAACGCACTGTCGTTACTTAAATTTTAAACATTCTGGTTAAACTATTATTTTTCGTACAACTGTACTTAGTTCATGGATTTCAATGACTGTTTTTCACAAAGATTGTTATGTGCAATAAATGCACATCATTTATCTAGCTTCGCATATACATTGCACACAAATGTAAAAAGTTTAGGCTGGTCGTTATATATATAATGCTTACAGAAATAGAGTTCTTCAACAACTAAAAGGATAATGATTTTACTGGATAACTAACTTTTACTTAAAATAAACTCTTGATGTAGTTCGTAGTAGTTAGAACTGTTTAAAATAGTGAAATATAAAATTAATCTAATTATCGTCTAAAACAGTGTAAAAAAAATTTAGCATTTAACACTAATCTACTCCCATTGATTAAGTTTGTTATGAGCTTTATTGCACTAAGAGATGATTCAACATAGCATAATATCACTTAGATTCGGTTACCCATTTGAAGGTAATCGGTAAGGAGTTTCGAACTTATATATATAATTAGTGACAACTGTACTAGTTCAGTGGCAAAGTTGCTTACCATGGCGTATTAGGTTATTTGTGGAGTATCAGTATCTTCGATTCTTTTTAATTCCGGATCTATATTGTTGATAGTCAGCTCACATCGGTATAAAACCTAGATCCAGAGTTTATACTTGGTGACCACCACAAAATCCATGACATCAAACAAATTCCTCTATAATATCAAGTCACGTAACGTGGTGAGCACACCAAAGAATTGATCGATAGATTCCAGTCACTCTTAAAGACGTTGATTAAAATTTTATTATCCTTATCTATCCAGCTACCTTGTTCTCTCACTTCTACCTAAATCAAGTCACAGAAGAGCATCCTTGATCGAAAAACAGGTAGTAGCTAGCAAGGTCTAAACGCACATGAATCACAGTTAATTGATGTTAGTTCTTCATTTTATCAAACAATTACTTTCTTTTCACCTTTGGTCCACTTTATTTATTTTCGGTATCTTTTATTATTGCCATTGTCTTGTTTAAATATCACGCGAAAAACGGGATACATAAATATTATCTGTCCACTTTGAATTTTGTTCCAGATTTCCCTTCTATAAATGCTTTTCATTTGTAAATGCCTGATTTCATATTATCACTTGCATTTTTATTTGGCTTAACCAATACCCCAATGACCAATTAGACCATTTGATTTTTTTTCCAGTTGGCAATAATCCAGGTTGACGCTATCTAAACAAGTTATACAGATTTTCAGACTTTATATAAACAAGGAATCCACATATATGTCCCTGTGCGTATATATATATATATAGGATCATACCTAAATACCATACTTTTTGGCGTCATCTACACTCGAACGCACTTATGTCTTCAAAATCAATACTCATCCTAAGCTGTTCCCTCTCTCTATTCCATCCAGTGTGCAAAATACTATTAACAATATAAATGATATTTCATTATAAATTATTTACTGAATTTTTCCCACTGTTGTCGGTAGTTTGACATTAGTTTTACTTCGTCTCATAATTTCGTGCTTTTCAAATCAGCCATCATATTTATTTCAAAATGTAGTCACTGGCCTTAGTAATTTGTATTTTTTTCCCTGCAATTCGTTTCTTTCTTTTAGAAAAATATGGCATATATACACAACACACACTGTCATAAGCAGCGTAGCACCTGGTAAGAAGAAAAAATATTGATGTAAACCTGTAGCTGTTCAATATGAATGCTCAATCACACCAAACATTACGTAATTCATTAAAACCTCCCTATGACTGCCACATTCTCTATAACTGGGTTGTATTTCTAAACCTTTCATCTGGTCTCGGTTAGAGAAACATGTTAGTAACATTTACAAGTGATTAGTCGCTAAGTAGTAGTGGCCAATGCCCTGAAAACTGATCGGAATCTATCGATCACGTCCCAATATAACCACTAGTCTAAGTGACTCGGCAGCCCGTGCACCATGTTGGGGTGTTTGTTGGTGTGATATAGTCGATAGGAAATACTGTTAAGCCATTTGAGCTGCGATTGATCTGCAGAGTTTTCTTTCGACTACTCCCAACTGCCTATCATGTTAGTGAGTGACATTTAACAGCAGTCAATCAATCATAAGCATATAGATACTTATATAAAACTAAAAGTGTAATTATTGGTAATATTAATGATGTTAAAAAATGGAGGGTTAATAATGTTTTGAGAAGGACAAGTACAATAAATAGTGTTGGAATGAAAATTTACAATCAAAGTGATAAATATATTTGCTTCATTCTAATTTTGAACTATTGGATTTAGTGTTCACTCATCATAAATTATGATTATCTTATGTGACAGCCTCTGTTGATTTCTGCTGTCTGATTCATTTACGATATATATTTTCTAAATTACACCAAATATACTAAATAAGGTGAAAAAACTGAAATAAGTAGGATGGTTTAAAGGTAAACCGAATTATGGTGTACATAAATCGTAGGTTATGTATGATTTTCTTCTGACCCAGAAAATGACATTTAGGCTGGGATCTTGAGTAGGTCTATAGTCTAACTCATTCGATAGAATGCGTTGTTTATAATTTCTCACCTACCATTTGAGCCTTAGATGGCATATGAGCTTAGGCACATGATGTCTATACTCATCTAGTCTATAAGTACCATCACAACACAATCTAAGTCAGTAATTCCAAGTGTTACCAAGTTTCAGTTTGACTGCTATCAACCAGTACTAGAAAGATAAATATGCTAGTCGTTAAAAGGTAAACTTTATACGATAATAATAAAGATAAAATTGTGAATTATTTAGTATTTCTCAGACGAATAACTTTGATAACTAAACTGTAATCGATGTTTCTGTCTAAAGCAATTTAACCAATACCAATTACTATTTTCTCTTTTTATCAAATTGACTAACAATCCATTTTACAGAAAAACATATATATTTAAACATCAGTGACTGTTAGGCCTATTGTTTTATGATTTACATAAAGGTCTCATCTTGATTAAATAACCACTAAAAACCAGGATGCACTGAACAACTGTTTCTTCCTACTACGCATTCATGAAATATCCCCGGGGTCGCAACCATAATCTCCATATCTCATAGTGAGCTCTTAATCTGTAGATTAATGAGTCAGGATCTAATCGTTTACACCTCTCACGTCAGTCAATTCACAATGTTGCGCAACCATCTTCCAATGTCATCGGTAGGTAACTGCCTCATATTGTATATGGCTGTTTTCCTTTAGTCACGGCTTCTTATTAGAACTCCTAGAATTATCCCCTGAAATTAGTCATTAATGAGCACATGATTTCACTCTTTATTTCCTTTTAAATTTTAATTTGAGATTGCTGTTTTGTAAATATTCATAACTATTCAGAGGATTAAATCCGTCGATCAACAACATAGTTTTTCCTCACATCAGTTTCTTTACTTATTTTTTCCCTCGATTCACTTACACTTTTCAGGTGGTGCCTAACTAATCTTTTATAATAGTAATTAATCTCAATTTCAAACGAATAAACAATGTTATTTAACTCTTAATTTTTCTACAACCCATTTACCAAGTACAGATTTATATGTTTGAGCTTCAGGTCACATTTTCCATGTATAGCACACCGATACTACCAAGTTGTTCAAATCAGAGTAGATGAAATAATGTTGTTTGAGTCTCTTCCTTCATTTTGTACTTTGTTCTCTATCTTAACTTTTGTTTGCTTAGTTAAACCCGTTTTAATAAAAAGTTTAGATTAAAACTCACTAACTTAACTATTTGATATAGGATATTTCTTTAAAACACAGATATCTTGTGGTGGGTATTGCTTCATTTATATATGTTCAAACTTCAGTGTGTATTCCTAAACGCAAGCCGATGTGAATGAATACCCAATTGGTGATATATGGTGATATAATTCTGGTTAGCACTTTTTAGCAAGATTGCTTTTTATGAGTTGGGGTTACTGACCCCATCCATGCCCAACCCTTCTCCTTTACCCGGGCTTGGGACCGGCAGTAACTTTAGAAGAGCTACAGGTGGAGTTATATAGTGATAGAACGTTAACTAATTGATTAATATGTATGTATATAAACTGGACGTTGTTATTTTATATCATGATTTAAGGATTAATATAAAGTTGTTTTTTCTTAATTATTATTAATATTAGTATTAGTAGCTGATAAGTCAATATAATCTTCAGACACTATTAGATCGCTTACTTTTTCATGTTTTAAAAAATTATCGTTAGTATTAGAAGATGACGTTTCGGACTTCTGCCAATATTAACTTTTCCGATGTATTTAATACTTGTTTACTAAACACCTAATCATCATTGAGTTCGAAATTTTAAAAATTTTCAACTCTAGTTAGTGTCTAAAATATTACATAACCAATCCCTAACATTATCGACAAGTACATTTTATGAAGTAATAACTAGTAGCCCTCAAGTTGAATGCATTTAAATTTCAGCTAATCTGTTCACAAGTTCATATTCCACTTTATTAAATTCAGTTTAGTCAACTGTTTATATTATTGAAATAGGATTTGATGATTTTATGAAGTAATGTTCAATTGTTAAAATGTAAGCAAAGAATAAACAAAGAATATTGATCAACAAATGATGATGTGCTATAATACGATATATAATGAGTAGTGAGTTGTTCATGAGACTGATTTATTCAATTAATCTCGTAAACAAACTAATATTATAAGTATTAGAATGGGTTTTGTGGAGATTTTCTAGAAATTTCACTGTTTGACATCATAAGTCAATTGAAGCTAGACCACCATGGAAAACCTGGAAGCACTGGACGGCCGTTTTGTTCTAGTATGGGACTCCTTAGCAGTGCGCATCCACGACAAGATAGTTGCTCAGTAGAAAGTTTTTTTTAAATTTAATAAAATAATATGATTAAATGTTATAGATGATCAAATGGTTAGGCTTTCTCATCATATCGGCTTAGTAACACTATCCCTCATTCACAAACATTTAAGTTTAAAGTCCAGTAAGTGAACTTGCACTTGGTTTGAATAAATCATGTTTTAAAGAAAAAAAATCCTGGAATTGTTTATTTTTCATACTGGGAATCTATTCTATCCTATTTCTTTTAAACATTTTAATAAAGGGACTTTGATGTATATAGTTCATATCATAGTAAATGAGTAAGGTAGTTTGAACTGTTGGTTACTTTTTATCAGTGTTTTACAAACCATCAATTTCAACAGCAGGATTATGTTTTGTTAATTGAATTTTTTTTCATATCATTTTATCCATTAAAAATACAGACTGGATCACATTTTTAGTGGAATATATACTCATATATTATCTGTAAAACTGTTTTTTTTAAAAAAAATATATGCTGAGGCGATCACAAAATTACTCAAATTTTGTTAATATTCCCAATACCTCACTAAGAACAATAATCATAAATGCTTTTCTTTGTCAATTGGATTTTTCGCATGGAATTTATCTTTTTCTGATTATTTGCCACTATTCTTAATTCACTAATTCTCTGCACACTTTCATTATTATATATGCTTAATTGTACCATTCCAAATTGTTCTACTTGAATATTAAGTTTTTCCTACATCTCGTCTAATTCTTGTGTTATATTCCAGCTGACTTTATCGAGCCCACAATAAAACTGTTCATGTATAGAATAACTCAATCGTTCAATAATTCACAAGCAGTGTAGTCTAACCGGAAATTCCATATACACCTAATCGCTATTACCAGGACTTCTTACTACTGTTACCCCTCGTGGAAGAGCATAGGTAGCCCACCAGCATTCTCTATTGAACTCTGTTCTGGGTGGTCCTTTCCAGTTGCTATGTTTGCTTCCAGTTCCCGATGCAATGTGCTCCTTGATCTTCCTCTTTCCCATTCCCCTTCAGCACTCCAAGTTAGCGCTTGCCTCGTGCTGAAGTTTGATTATTTCCGCATTGTATGTCCTATTCACATCCAACGTCTTTTCCTAAGTTCCTCTTTAGATGGGACCTGGTCTGTTCTCTCCCACAGTAGGCTGTTCCTGATGGTATCCATCCAATGGACGTTGAGTATCTTGAGTAGACAACTGTTTATAAATACTTGTACTTTTTGATGATGTTTGAAGTAGTTCTCAAGGTTTCAGCCCCGTACAGTGAAACTGTCTTGACGTTCGTATTGAAGATTCTGATATATCTAAAGGAATAATTGTTAAATCTTACTGGACACTGTAAACTTCCAAAATGTCATTTTGTCCCAGATTGATTTTCAAGTCCCTTTTTACTTGACTACAATATTTATTTAAAAAAACAATGACACCTAACAGTATTTTCATCAGCTTTTGTTTTACTGTTGTTCTGTTGTTTTTTTTTCTTTTCTATTCTTTATTCTTCAAGTTTATCAATCAATTTAAACAGTGTGTAGATTCAATGAAAACTCAAATTCAACCAGAAGCAAATAGTCCATCTGGAATACGTGTACCAGTAAGTTTTTTCGTATTTTAAAGTATTTCTATCGTTTTATTAGAAGTGTTTTATGTTCTCTAAGCCAGATAGATAAGTTAATTTTGAATCTTTCGTTGTCATTCGTCTAAAAATAGCATCATTAGGACAAAGAAAGCCTCACAACTAAACATTTCAACTCAGAGACCACGAAACCTTCAATATTTTAGTAGTCGAATCCTTCAAGTTCATCTTATTTGGAGTTTGTCAGCTGGAATGAACCTGTATCCCATAATTGACATCCACACTGAAATCTTGAACCCCAATACCTATCCATCGGTCCAAATACCAACTCATTTAATAACCGAGTTGGAGCCTAGATAATAATCGACTTCACATGATGTAATATTTATTATTATTATTATTGTTTATATTTTCCTGCTAATTAAATTTTATCGAGTCTCAGTGTAAACATAAAAATTGCGTTACAAATACATTCTTACCCGACGAATCCTTAATTAGGCAAAATGTGCATCCTGGATCCACTATCTATAAATATATGTTACTATTATTGATTGACTGGTTAATTAAATAATCTGAAATACTTTTAATCTTATGTAAATCATATGATCTTTATTTACACATTACATAAACAGATCATATTTTTTTACACTAAAATATGTAACTTTTTTTTCTACCAACCTGATATTGTTTAATGCACTCATAGTTTACTTCCTGATCTCACTTTTTTTGGTGAATTTCTGTAATCCGACATAAATTATACTCATTTATTTGAAAGTAAAGCTACTTTACCTAATCACTTTCAACTCTATCTTTACTATTCTGTAGAAAATATGATGTAAAATAATCAAGTTTTCTACAATGTTATCCAATATTTTGCTTTGTTTTTTATTTAAACACATAAATATTGGTACAGAGGAGCACCAAAATGTTCATCCATCACACAATAAAAATGCGATTGTGAAGAGATAGCGGAGGAAAGGTGGGTATAATGAAAAAAATAACAAAAAATGGAAATAGATTAGTGTATGAAAGTGAAATATCAATAATATTGATGATGAGAGAAGCAATTCAGTTACGAAAAATACGACCATAAAGAATCCTCTCAGTTAAAGAAGTTACGCTCACTTACAAGGAAAAGGTTACATCACGACCACCACTGGCTCATATTCTGAGCCATATCTGATAACATCTCAAGCCGCAGTGTTGCACTATCTCTAGGACCCCAACCAGAGAGTCTTGAAGGACCGACAGACGCCAGTCCTTCACAGCATTATCGATACCATGACACCATGGTCATATAATGATCCCCTCTTCACTTTTACAACTAGTCCCAGCATCGACAAAAAATGCACAATGTGGAATTCTCTGGAACGACATTCGTAGAACATGTACAAGTCACCTAAGTCGATGTTTCAAGGTGGAGGCACCAAAGTGAACTATCGTCACTGTTCCCGAACACACGTTGCCTAACCTCCACACTGCTAACATAATGTCACCGAATATCAGTTATTCTCCAAAGACAAGAATGATCAAACACAAAGGCGCTTAACATCCACACATCCGAAAGTTCAGGTTTCAAAAGCATAGAGCAAAACTGCTCTTGTAGTGTATCCTATTTATACAGACCGATATAAGTAAAATGTGTCAAGAATTTGAAGTAGGATTCTTAGTGACGAAAGCGGAACATGAGGAGAAGAGAAAAAACAATCAATCCAAGTAGCAACAGGAATGAAAGAACGGTTAAGCTTGTAGGAAACAATACAATGAAGATGTGAAAACGATGTATTTTAATGTATTGTTTCCATATTTTAGAGATGCAGTGTGTGATTTTGCTTAACACAATAAACTGATTTACTCTACTAAAGTCTTCGTGCATTTCACTCTCACTGGTCCGTTGTAGATTCCACGTTTTACAGCTAGACTAACATCACGAAGGCACCAAAGATGGCTCATATTAGCATAGGTCGCTAACCAGTAGTTTTAAGCGTCTTCAGTTGATCGATCTCATTTCGTGGTGAAAACTACTTTTCGAAAAAACAAAATCTCCATACAACCAATGTGATTAATAATATACGAGTTCAAGTTATGAGTTTATACCGTTTGCAGTTTAAGGTTATACCAATCCTGCCCTCATTCAAAACAATCCCTATCTCTGGAAAGATATGCTTTTTTCTCACATTTCCTTAGAAGTTCTCAGAAGTTAAGCTGTTCAGTTGCTTCGTTGTTTTACATTTTATATCATCTTTCCATAACTATTCTATTTTTCGAAAACATAAAAATAGTAGATTGCACCGGTAAATGAAAAGCATAATCTATCCCAGCGATAAAAATTGGTAACAGTCAGAAACTCATGATGAAACACCTAATGAGTAACGTGGTGTGTTGTTGTATATTTCCTTATGGGGAGATCACAACTCTCATCATATATTAATAACTGAAGTGTACAATGCGACTGGTCGTTTTTTAGTTCCAGTAGTAACTAACATACTTAGAAGTTCAGTTTGGGTATTTATTGATGAATAGATTACATACAGATATAACTATTAATCAAATCTATTCCAAGTAATTTAATGTCTCATCCTTTGTATTCATTTCTAATTTTCAGTATTTAACTTAAGTAAAAACTGTTTACATTAGTAACAATGGTATAGTTAGCATCTCAGTTGATTGATTATTGGTCTTGTGTATGTGTACTTTTCATATTTGTTTTTCGTGGGAAAGTGTAATTTTTACTACTTTTTACCTCGTCATCGCTTGAATGTTTTTTTTCTTGTGATTATCTTTTTGTATAGTCAATGATTCATTGGTAGGTATAATCTAATCAGTAAACTATCTATTTAACGGTGATGCAGCAAACCCAGACAATGACGATAATAATAATAATAGTGGAAAATGTGAAATAAATTACACTTGACTAGGTAATTACCTAACTTGTCATTTGAGACGTAGTTTTTGCTTGTCTCAGTTTACTAGTTATACATTTCTACAACTTCTATCCGAGCCTTATTTTAATGCGTCCATTATTGTGCGCGCATATATGTGTGTATCAGTGTACTTGGTCAAAATATCAACTGTTTATCTTGTGAACTTGTTACATACTTGTTCAAAAACACATTTTAGTTGTATCCTAGAATCCAGAGTTGTTTCACCCTGAACAAAAAGCAGAAGGCGGGAAACATAGGAAAATCGTTACTCCCAAAATTTGTTTATGTACAAAATGGCGATAATAGTTATACGGAATTATACATAAGTTGATAACAAAGTCAGCATTTGTCCAATCATTATAAAGGAAGTACATTCAACTACTTTATAAGTTTTTTTCTGTAAGTTCCTAATGAGCACAGATTAATCGAAGTGTTTTCATCATCTTTCATAGCTGCTGTAAACTTTTTCAAACAATTATCAAAGGGTTCCAACAATGAAAATCATTTGCACAACCGTTAATCATAAAGTGACATTCGATATTTGCTTAATCTTAATCTTGTAACTTATTTTTTAAATTCATTATTGAATTGAGTAACATTGTCTGTTTCATTTTATGGTAAAATTATGATTTACATATAAGCCAATTGGAATCGAAAACTCAACTTTTAAGTTTTTGCTTGAGATTCAAGTACCATGTATAACAAGCAGTAAAAATACCTTTGTATAGTGTTCAAAACATCCAACAGGATTGCGAATGATTATTTTTTGTAATCATGGATTTAAAATGATATTGTTAAGTGTAGTAAATGCCTAATTCTATCTCACCCTGAATACTTGACCCTGAAACAAACATTAATCTTGTAGCAATATGTTTTATGGATTAATCAATAAGATAGCGCCTCGTGTTTACGGACGAACTTTAACATTATAGCTGATGTCAGTTGGGGAATAAATTATTAACCCTAAACATCCAATCCTTACCCTAAATAAATAAATTAATATATTTGTAATATCCCAACGAGTAGAAAAATTTAATTTTCTGACGTTTCGTGACTCAGTGTCAGCCACTTCTTCAGCGAATAATTAACCAAATCAAAATTAATCCAAGTTTATATTCTTGTGTTGCGCCTTTGTACTGCTTAAACTTAGGATAATTTTGATTTGGTTATTTATTCTCTGAAGAAGTGGCTTACAGAAAATTTAATTTTTCTACTCATTGGGATATTAAAAATAAATAAATTTATTTATAACAATCTACCCAATGCTCAATTTATTCGAAATTATCAGGTCAAACCTTGCTAATGATACTTACTTACCCTAAATAGCTAACTCTTATAAATCTTTTCGGGTTCTTATACGGAAGATCTATATCCATTCAGAAGAATTTAAATTTCGTTGTTCTTTCATTTATGAACAGAGTAGCCTGAAAAATATATAATTAGATTTACCAACCGTAAAGTCTGTTTATACTTTTCAATATTATTGTTTTCTATTCCATAAACCATCCCTTTCTGATTGACTGGTTAAAAACCGGCTGGAAATTTGTCGCGCTTATTTTGAACTCATCCTCAAAGTATGGTTTTGCCTATTCTATAATCCCGTTTTTATTTGTCTTTTAGTTGTACTACATACGTTTAAATTCACAATGAAGTTGGTTCTATTATTTCCTGTCATGTATATATATAACTCATATTTTCCATTCCCTCTCGTTACCTTGACTCCTTTAATCAACTAACAGTCACTGTCCATAGATTGACATCATATCATATGGAAGAGGTTAGGTACAGAAAAAGAGAGAAGCAAAAGTGTAATGAAATATTGTAGCTAAGGTTCTAAAAATAGGCAAAGAGTGCTGAGTATTATCACAAATAGGACAATGACTCAGTGATTGAAGCACGTAGTTTTCAACGAGTGAATCATAGAATAAAACCCCACTTAATTTAATTCATAACAAACCGTTCCAGAAATTGTGTATTCATTAGTATATGCAAAAACAGATTTAATACAGACGTACAAGGATATCCTTCGTAGTTGAGTACACCAATATCCATAGTTGTTATAACTGAGTTACAGTGAAATTTATTTTGATGTAC